GCAATATTATTCAAAATGGGTGACCCTGGAGGACATTATGCTGAATGAGGTATCTCAGTCACAAAGGGACAAATGCTATATGGTGCCACTGATGTAGAATGAGGCTGGCATTGGGATGGGGGTAAGACTGAGAAAAACTGGATGAAATATGTTTACAGCATTGAAGTCTATGGGGGAGAGAATAGTCTAAAAGTATTATATTTTATGGCATTATGTTTATCGTAAGAGTATAGAATGAGGGTTGCAAAGTGGATTATATTTGGGTTTGGAGGTGTGGTTGGGGGATGTGCAGGGGGGTTGTGTACCAATGAGGGAGTTTTGCTTTTCAAGGAGAGGAGCAAAAGGGGCGGGGGCTGGGAGAAGGGTGCAACAATGAATGAATGGAATTCCAAAATCTCTGTAGATGTTCATTGAAATGAAAAATAAATAAAAAGAACTCTTGGGGAAAAAAAACAAACCAACAACAACAAAAAGGTCTTGTAAAGTTGGGATTGAGATATATGTCAGCCATAACTAGAATCAGCATCTTTGATGTGATAAAAATAAAAATAAAATACTTCACTGTAAAAAAAAGTGGGGAAAAAAAAGAAAATCAGCAATACAGATATGTTAAAAGACCTAGAACTGTCCAGCCAAAGAGAAGGTTCTAATGTAAATTCTACACCTTAGAATTTCATTTACTTCTAATTATGCATATGGGCTCATCAATTGTAGACATTTACCTAAAAAAAGAAAAAAGTATATTGCACATAGTATAGACTACAAAGAGAACAAATAGATCTGGTCTTGAGACAGTGAAATGAATTGATTCCTTGGAGATAAGGATTTTGAAGCTCTGTCTCATGTGAGAAGGGACCAGATCTTGGAGAAGAACATCATGCTTGAAAAGCTAGAGGGTCAGTGCAGAAGAGGAAGTTTCTGGGTAAGATGAATTGACCCAGTGATTACGGCAGTGGTGTCAGATGTGTCAGAGATGGTAAGGTTGACTAAGATAAAGCAGCCAGGTTCAGAGCCATTGTTCACAGGATTGCTATGAATTATAGTTGAGTTATTGATACATGACAAGCAGCACAACATCCTCAGACCTTTCACAATGTATTCTAAAAATTAATAGTTCAGTAGATATTGAAAAGCAAAATTTTATTCTATTCTAACAAAATTCTTTTTCCTAACAGGTTGATCAAGTTGGTCTGTGTGAAGAGCAAATTCATTGGATAGTGTAACCCAAGATATTTTGCTTTTAATTACTCTGCATAGCAGTTCATCACCTGAGTGTGTGTGCATTAGGACTGTAGTTTTACATTAAGCATTTATCTAGTGCTTGTATTTCTTGTTTTCACTAGGCTTTGAACCTGGCCTACTCCAGCATCTATGGCAGCTACAGGAACTTTGTGGGCCCTCCGCACTTTAAGGTCATCTGTCGGCTTCTGGGTTACCAGGGCATTGCAGTGGTTATGGAAGAGCTGTTGAAGGTTGTCAAGAGCCTGGTACGTTTTCCATGCTGCACAGTGATGCCCTCACACAGGCCTCTAGGTTATGAGGGTAGAATAATTGGATAGAATTCACAGTAGCATATATTGACTACGTAGATATTCCTTGTTGTTTGTGGTGCCTCTTGCTTGACTGAGACGTGTCATAAGTGTAGACTTGTATGGTGTGCACATGTCAGGCATGCAGGGTTTGAGTGAGGCATGTGATGAGTATATTTTTAGTTCTGGAGGTGAATGATGAACAGTGCACATTGAGCTCAAAGGCTAGGCATAGATCCAAACTATGTGGAGCCTTGCTCCTAACAACTTTTGGAAAGGTGATGTCATTGAGTTTCTTTTCAATACATTTATTTCTTTTCTGTACATCAATTATTTCTGCTGTTAATGAAGAGATAGCTCCCCCTCCATTGCCAGAATCTTAGTTTTTAATTAATCTTTTTGTGACTGAACTTTTTTATTTTAAAATTTCCTTATTGTCAAAATGAGATTTTCATGTCTTTCTCAAGAGTCACACTCTAGCTAAAGTAAAGTTTGTGTGACAATTTGAACCTGCATAAAGCAAAGGCTCACAGAATTCTGAGATGTTGAGAAATTATAATCCTATAGGTCAAGATGAAAAACTCTTCAGTACTTGGATGGCTTGTTCCCTGGTTCATCCATGACCCAGTGGTCACCCCAGTTCTTGTCAGGTCTCAGTAGAGAGCCTGCTATAGCAGCACCTGTAGTGGCATGGAAGGTGACAGGATGACTGGCTGTGTCATTGTCAAGCATGAGGTGCCTGGCTCATCTTTGCACAATTCTTAGTCCTTTCTACAGAGCTGTCTTGAATATTCAGCACAGACCTCTGTTCCTGCACCTAGGCCCCTCTTCACTGCTCACTTATCACCAGGGATGGTATTTGTCAGTATGACCCACAGCCAGGAAGTCTATGCCTAAATGGCCAAGTCTTACCCAAAAGGTGCTAGACTGGACCACACTAGCCCATGTGACACACACAGACATTTGCAGCAAGTGACCTAGGATGCTAGTTTCTCAGTCAGACTCTGTGCATGCCCCAAGTGATGTAGGGAGCATCTGACTGAGCAGAGCCTACACAGCTACCCCACGTACCCACCCATTCTAACATACTGTCAGCAGCTGTGTTGGCCACACTTAAAGCTGCATAGGCCTGTTGGGTGGCAGAAATTGGAGTGCAGCTCCTTGGAAGATGTGATGATGCTCCAAGCCATTCCTAGTATCCTGACACTCCTCTAGGCCCACACATAGTCTGAAAAAGGCCTTAGTTTGGAGTATTCATTCCGGTAGCATATACATGTACCTGTGGAAGTACTCCTTCTCCTTTTGTGGGATTTAGCCTCAGCCACAGGGAGAGGTGGCATCACTGACGCACATCTCTCTTCCACAGCTACAAGGCACCATCCTGCAGTATGTGAGGACACTGATGGAGGTGATGCCTAAGATCTGCCGCCTTCCGCGGCACGAGTATGGCTCTCCTGGTGAGAGGGGTGTGTGTGGGAGGCAGAGTGGGTTCATAAGACATATACAAAGGAGGCAGAGCCACCTTTCTTGGATTCAGTTGAGAAATACTGTTGGTGGTTCGATTTGCTGTCCCTTTGGGAAGGAAAGTGTGTGGGAAAGTATTGGAGACCTTCGTTACAGATGAGGCCAGTGTGAAATTATTTAGCAGAAGTTCAGAAGTTTGTGAGAAGGCTCTGGAACCTGTTCGCTTCTTCACAGAAGTTCCCAACTTGAGGGAGCAATGAGCAGGTCTACAGGTTTTTTGAGCTGTAGCTGAAGACAAACCCTGGGGCGGGGTTGGCCAGTGCCTCTCCCTGTCCTCTTTAAACTTTTCTTCCCGCATCCATTCTTCTTTTATCCTCCACCCTCTTCTCCTACTTTTGGAACCCACTTGTCTATTTCCAACCTTGAAAAATAGAAAACAAACAAATCCTGTCCATTTGGTTATTGACTAGGTTGGCATGGAGTCCAGAGATCACCTTGGAGAATGTTGCCTTCTCCATGTTTATGTCTTATGTTTTCTTATTCCTACTGCATTATGTTGATATCAGTTGCACACACTTGAGGCAGAAGATGCCACCATTAAATTGCATGTTAGTTGAAGGGTTTCCAAGGTTTTATAGTAGTATATAGTTCCCTTTTATGCTTGTGAATGGATACTGAATTGTATCAAATGCACTTTTTCTCCTTCTGTTGAAAGACCAAGAGCGCATTTGACCTTACTCTGGTGCTATATGGTAACAGCACTATCACTATGTTCTCCTTGAAGGGCCAGGCTGACTGTCAGTTGCCATCAGTGCCTTTTCATTAAGCTGAATACATCTGTGGAGGACCTCTCCAAGTGGTAAACAGACCACTGCTGTGGAAACGTGCTAGAAGCTGGGAGAGTGGGACCATCTCAGTAGTAATCCACAGAGTTTTATGTAGCCTCCCTATCCTGCTTACTCAAGACCATACTTCCTCTAGTCTTTGACCTTGTCCTTTGCTCTCTGCTGACAGGCATCCTTGAGTTCTTCCACCACCAGCTGAAGGACATTGTAGAGTATGCAGAACTGAAGACGGTGTGCTTTCAGAACCTGCGGGAAGTAGGCAATGCTGTCCTGTTCTGCCTTCTCATTGAGCAGAGCCTGGTGAGCATGTCTGTGGGGAGGAAACTTTCTGGGGGGCTTGGTTTAGGTGAGATTGCAGTGCTATTCAGCACCATTCTTTTTACACTTTAATATGAATGTGTTTCCTCTCCATTGAAAGAAGAAATTTAGTTACTATTTATCAAAGTATTTTTCTATATAAACATAATAAAAAATGTTTCACTGTGTACTACCTGGTCCATCCAGCTATCCTAGGTGTAACATTTTGTTGTCCTTGAGAGCTGGACAGAACTGTGTGGATGAAAATGTTCCATATCTGTGTGCTGAACCTAGAGTAATGCTCAGTGTGACGCAGGGGCTGTGAGTTCTAAATCTGATTGAGTTTTAATTACATTACATTATCAGCCAGCTACATGTGCCTTGTACCACATATTAAAGGGAACTTTTCGTCTTGGTTGAAACATTGTCTTGTGTTTTATGCAGAACCTGAGGGAAGTTGGCAACTGCTACCATTAAGTGGGATGTTAGCTACAAAGTGTTCATTGATTTCATGAATATATCTTTTCCTTCTGTGCCTAAGTCACAAGTCCCAGAGGGGTCATTTTACTTTCACAAGCTTGCTTTTAAACATTTATCAGCATGACAAATTAATTAGTAGCATGACTTTTAATTGGAGTGCCTACTGAGGATGAAATATTTTCTCACTTGACTTCCACTGCCTCTCTCATTTTTTTAATTGAGATTTTAATGAACGTTTAAAAAGATCTTGGGTTTCCAGTCATTCATTGTTGCACATTTTCCTCCCTGCCCCCATGCACCCCAGATCGCTTTTTTCTTGGAGAAAATAGTTCTTTCATTATTATACAGACACCCCACCACAATTTACTATGCAGCTCTTATTCATGACTCTTGCTATGCCAATAATACCAAATCATATATTCCTTTTTTACACTTCTCTCCCTTGTCTGCTTCAATGCCATGTAGATTATTTATCCCTCAATTCTTATGACATATTTATCTCTTTGTGACTGAGATATTTCACTCAGAATAATGTACTCCAGGATCAACCATTTTTTATATTATTTCATGAGTTCTTTGTTTTTCAATGCAGCATAGTATTCCAGTGCATGAATAAACCGCAGATTCTCTATCCATTCATTTGCTGATGGGCACCTGGGTTGTTTTCTATTCTTTGCTCTTTGGAACAAAACTGCAGTGAACATGTGTGTGCATATAGCTGCTTGGGTGGCATTTACTGTTTCTTTAGGGTATATTCCCAGTAGTCAAATTGCTGGGTCTAATGGTATTTCTATTTACAACTTTCTGAGAAAGCACCATACTGCCTTCCATAGTGGATACACCATTTTACACTCCACCAATAGTTAATAAGGGTTCCAGTTTGTTCGCAGCCTCGCCAGCATTTGTTGTTTGCTCTTCTGTTAAATTTTGCTATTCTTACTGGGGTGAGATGATATAGTTGTTTTGATTTCCATCTCTCTTAGGGATTTTGAACATTTCTTCATGTGTTTGTTGGCCATCTGAATGTCTTCTTTGCTGAAATGTTTGTTTCTTTTCTGTGCCCATTTTTAATTGGGTTGTTTGTCTTCTTGTGGTGCTCAAGTATTTTATAAATTCTAGATATTAGTCCCTTATTTGACATGTCATAACCAAATATTTTTTCTTGTTTGTGTCTTCCCTTTATACCCTATTGGAGAAGTTTTTGGATGTACATAGGATTTTAATCTTAGAAGGTCCCCGTCATCTCTTTTATCCTCTCCTAGTTGGAGGTTTTTCAGGATGCTTGGACGAGACTGTTTATGTTGTGGATTAGGGCTTCTAGGGTTCATCAAAGCTTTTCTCTAATGACGTTTATAGTCCTTGATTTTAGACCTAGGTCTTTGATCCACTTTGAGTTGGTTTTTGTGTGTGGAGTGAGGTATGGGCCTTGCTCGAGATTTCTGCAGATGGTTTTCCAATTTTGCCAACACCATTTTCCCCACTTAACTGATTTCTTTTCCTTATCAAAAATTAGTTGGCCATAGGTAGATAGGCTGATTTCTGGATTCTCAATTCTGTTCCTCTGATCTATGTGTCTGTCATTGTACCAGTACCACTCTGTCTTGAACGCCACGGCAGTGCAGTAGGATTTGAAAGCAGGCATTAAGATCCCTCCTACCATGTTTTTCTTTTTAAGGACTGCTTTGCTTATTTGTGCCCCCTTTCCTTTCCAAATGACATTAGAGATGGCCCTTTCCGTCTTCTTGAAGAATCGAATTGGTATTTATATTGGGATTGCATTGAAAGTGTACATTGCCTTTGGTAGTATTGTCATTTTCACAATATTGAGTCTTCCTAACCATGAGCAAGGGCTATTGTTCCATTTCTCCATGTCTCTCTTTCTTTTTTTTATTAATTTTTTCTTTTTCTTTTTTTAAATGAATTTTAATGAAAGTTTACAGAGACTTAGGGTTTCCAGTCATTGATTTTTGCACTTTTTCTCCCTACCCATCCCTTAACCCCCAGTTCACTCCTCACCTTGAAAAGAAAAACTCTTTCATTGTTATGCAGTCCCTCCCCCCAAGTCCACTCCACTATGCAGCCTTCACTCTGGACTTCTGTAATGACAAGAATACCCATTGATATGTCTCTTAAACAGTTCTCTCCCTCAATGTTTCATTGCAATATATATCATCCTTCCCCTCCTTTACTGTTTCCCTCAACCATGATGTCAGTCCCATTTTACAACAACGTCCCTATGAAATATTGTGACTGAGATATTTCACTCAGCATAATGTCCTCCAAGTTCATCCATTTTGCATAACATTTTATGAGTTCTTTGTTTTTCAGTGCTGCATAGTATTCCATTGTGTGAATATACCAGAGCTTCTCTATCCATTCGTTTGTTGATTGCCACAGAGCCACAATAAATATGGGCGTGCATATGCTCCAAGAGTTGACAGCATACCAACTGATTTATTTCAACAAACAGATGCTGCCCTGTATGTACTCACTAAGTTGTGCCAAGACATCTGGAGGAGAGCCAGCTGGCCAACTGACTGAAAAAGATCGATATTTGTTCCCATTCCAAAGAAAGGTGACCCAACAAGCTATGGCTGGCTCTGAGAAGAATGGGAATCCCAGAACATTTGATTGTACTAATGTGAAACTTTTACTTGGACCAAGAGGCAGTTGTCAGAACAGAGCAAGGAGACACTACATGGTTCAAAATCAAGAAGGGGGTCCATCAGGGATGTATTTTGTCTCCATACCTTTTCAATCTCTATGCAGAACAGATCATCTGAGACTCTGGGCTGTAAGAGGAGGAATTGTGGCATCAGGATTGTTGGAAGAGTCATCAACAGCCTAAGTTATGTGGATGACAGAACCCTGCTTGCTGAAACTGAAGAGGACCAGAAGCGCTTGCTGCAGAAGGTCAAGGACTGCAGTCTTCAATATGGATTGAAGCTCAACATCAAGAAAACAAAGATTCTCACCAC